GCAACCCATTCTTTTATAATTTCAGTAATTAAAGTTCGTTGTTCTAAATAATCTACAGTTTGGACAAGTTGTGCAACAAGATTTTTTAGTAGAATCGATTGCATCATGGCTTCGTGTAAGTCTCGTAGTTTACCTGAGCCAATTACATTCGGTAGTATTGCAACATCTTCGCTCACCGCAATTGAATCGCTGAAGGTTCGGTGAAAGGTATCATTGACCAAGTTAATATCTGCCATGTGGCTGACTTCACCTAATGTTTCTTGGACTCCATTTTTATAGTATGTTCCTAAATCCGCAATTTCATTACCATTTTCGAGTATTTGATTATTGGCTATTTTTTTGACATTAAAACCTGTAATACCCAATTCACCCAAACTAAACAGCTCGTTTGCTTGTGATATTCCATCTTGATTTAAATCACGCCATACTTTGAGTTGGTTCCAGTGTGCATCTGCTGAGTCAACAATGCCATCTCGATTGGTGTCCTGATCAGCAAGTGCCTCAAAACCATTTTTAGCAGTGCCACCCATTGATAATGGAGTTGAATCACCGAATAGTTCAGTTCCATTGTCGATTTTCCCATTGCCATTCCGATCTAATACTAAAAACCCATCATCAGGGAGTACCCAGCCTGTATTGGTTTTTATACCCGTCCCCGTATGATCAAACATGATGGGATTCGTAGTAGATAGGGCTTTAGTTTCAAGTCCATCATGATCTAAGTCCAATGTAAGTGGATCTGCACGAAAAGTTTTTTGGGCTAAGTTAAATAATTCTGCAATTTTATTGGGTAATGCAAGGGTAACATCTGCAACACCTATCCATAAACTTTTCACTCCAGAATCCCAATCAATACCATGTGTTGTCGCATATTCATAAGTTTTATATAATATAGAACCTATAGCTTTACCCCCTTGATAAGCCCCATAAACAAGTAAACCTGCTAAAACAACTTCACCCAATACAGGTACACCAAGTAAACTGGCAACAACTGGAATTAATTCAGCGCCTGCTGCAAATAAAACCGTGCCAATAACAGCTTGCGGTCCATATATTTCTGCTTGTTCCTGAAACAGTTTCCAATTACCAGTTTCAAGACCTACTACCAACCCCTCAAATGTATTATTTAAAAAATCGGCAGCCATGACTCCAGCACCAACTTTCCCACCAAATAGATTATCTTTTACATACTTACCTAAATTATCTGCCATTTCTGGGTTGATTTTGACTTGCCCATTTTCTATTTGGAGCATATTGTTTTTAATGACGCCTTGAACATCTTGCTGGACTGTTTCTAAACTTCCATTTACAACTTTCAGTGATTTATTAAATGCATCTGCTACTACTTGAAGGTCTACATATCCACCTTGTGATCCAAACTTACCACCAAGATTTGCATCTACTTTTATTGATTCTTTAGTACCTTGAATTTTTAAAATTTCTGCATCAATAATTACTTTTTCGCCTTGTAGTTTAGAAATTTCATTTTGGATATTCGATTTTTCAACGTCGGAAAGTGCATTATTTTTTAAAGATTCAGCTAATTGATTGGTTTTTTGATGGTTTTTTGCGAGATCAGCAGAGGAATTAACTAACTTTTCATAAATACCTGAAGATGGTTTGTCAGTAATCCCATCAACATACAATTTTGCTTTAACTAAATATTCAGTTGAATAGCGTGTACTAGGTACAGATATTTTTCCCCCATCGACTATATTATTCAGATCAGTACGCATCCCATCTGTTAAAGGCATATCAGAATTCAGGACTATTTCAGCCATTTGCTTACTGACATCGAGTGTGAAGCGGTCATTATTTGCACCCACGATAGAACCATCTTTTATAATTAAGGGATCATTTTTTACATCAGGATGCTTATTATCATTCTCTAGATATTGTTGTTCATAAGTCTGTGCTTTTTGATAACGCTCGCCACCCTCTTGGATTTGTTGCGTTGTAATACTATGTTGATCAAGATAGCTTTTTATATTTTCTTCAGTATCGTAAATATTTACATCACCTCGAACCAATGCTTCTTTTATCGTTGCCTGCAAATCTATAATGGCTATTTTCTTTTGTTCTAAGCTTAAATCATTATTATTAATAATTTCAAAAACTTTATCTAAAATTGCATCATTATAATTAGAATGCCCTCCATTATGCTTTGAAGAGCCTAATGATACATCAGCCCAAATATTATCACCTGATTGCAACTTTTTATAATTTTCAGCCATTTGGCTATCAGCAAATAAAGCAATACGATTATTATAAGATTGCAAGGTCATATCATCTTGCATAATAATATTATATTTTCTCATTAAGACCGTATTGTTAAACATTTCAATCGGTAAAATATGATGAATCTGAAAATTTGTTTTTAAATCACTCATGTCATTACCCCAAAATAAATTCAAACAAAAAATTAACAATCAATAATTTGACATTCATAAAACAACCAATCTGTTCCCATTCCTGCTTCATCCAAAGCTTTTTTTAATTCATCTGAAATAAAAATTGAACTCATTAATGCAGGATCATGCCAAAGATCTAAATCACAAGTTTCTACCTGTTCTGATACTGCAATTGCTTCATCCTCATATCTTGAATGAGATAATCTATATTCTTTGTAATTTTCATTTAAGTTATTATTTTCTTTCAACCTTCTCGTACTATACTCAGGTATTAAATAATTTCTCCACTCCGCTATATTTAAAAAGTAATAGGTTTTATCATTTACAGGCTCATTTAAATCTAAATCAAAAAATGAAACAGGATACATTTCCGTTTCACCTAATCTAAATTTTTTCAATATATTTCTACATTCTTCATTAATTAGTAAAAAACCATCAGGGGTTCGACAAAAACTTGGAAACTCAAAATCTTTATCAATACTATTACCATACAAAATAGTTGGGACAATTGCTGCGTCTATTTTTTTACACGCATTATAAGGTTCACTAATTTCTAATGAAATTCTTTGAAAATCAAGCCATCTACTCTTTTCCATATCTGTTTTAATTATTTTTTTTTCAAGCAGATACAGTTCTGGATAATTGAATTTATTTGGAAATGACAATCCAAACAATCTTAAGTTATCTGGACGGTTTAATGTTGTAGTCCATACTTTGTTAGGCATAGTATTCTCTCTAAGTTTAAGTGTTATTAACAATCACAATTTTAACAGAACCTTATGAATGCTTATTTCTTTATACCAGCAACTATTTTTATGTTAACTCAATCTTAATTAACATAAAATAGTTGCTTGATCATAAAAAATTAGAGTTAAAAAGCTCAATTGGTAAAATATGATGAATTTGAAAAGAATCTGACATTTTAATTATTTCCTATATTATTAATATATTTTTTATTTAAGTTCACATAAAAATAATTGCCAAGCATCACTCAATTGTTCATCATCTAACGCTTTTTTAAGTTCATCAGATATAAAAATTGAATTATCCAGTTCTGGATCTCGCCACAAATCAATATCACATGTAACAGCTTCCTTATTAATTGCAATGGCGTGATCTGTATAGTCCGCATGATATAATTCAAAAAGTTGATAACCTTTATGTCGAGTATTTCTATATTTTGTCATTTCTTCTGTACAGTATTCTGAGCGTAAATAGCTTCTCAACTCAGCAATATTGAAAAAATAATATGTTTGATCGTTCACTAGCTCATTGAGCTGAATATCAAAAAAAGACAATGGATAAAGTACACTTTCCCCTAAACGAAATTGTTTAAGCACATGAGCACACTCCTCAGTGAGGATAACAAAGCCTTCTTGGGTACGAAAAAAACTGGGTAATTTAACTGCTTTACTAAAACCATGTGCATATAAAATAGTAGGAGCATTTTCGGGTAATATTTTTTCAGCTTGATGATATCGCTTAGTCACTTCTATTCGAGCATCAAGTAGTTGCAATCTTCGTTCTTTTTCTTCTGCTGAGTTTTCTTTAAGTTTATAAAACTCAGCATAATTAAAACTATCAGGAAAGGATAAACCAAATACTCGATAATTTTCATCAAACATAATCGTAGTTGTCCATACATTATTAGACATATTTTCCTCTTTAAGTTTTAGTAATGTTAGCTTTAAAAGCTTAGCATTAAGAATATTTTTTATAAGGTAAAAACACTAGTCCAACGACAAAAAATTGTCGTATAAAAAACAGCCTTTCAGTTTCAGTAATATTTTATCTTAATTGCATACAAACACATTGTAAATTAAAATTAAAAAATAGTTTTAAATTTTATTAACAAAAAATTAATTTATTGTTTTTATTGAAAATAGGAAAATGACATCAGTTGTTCCTCTTTTCTCATAGAATGTCATTGGTTGTGTCACATCCTCATATCATTATGCGTAGTAAGGATTGCTAAGCTTTTGAATTTAGGTTATTGAAAATGACATAGGATGTGTCGTGTGACGCCCGCTAATGAAAAGAGGCTGTCTCAAAAGCCCTCAAATACATAAAAATTACCGCAATATAATTAATTAGTAATCATACTTGCAGTTTTTATTTAGCCATTTTTGGTGTTTTAGAGTGAATTTATATCCAAAATTTTAGTAATGAGACTCACTCTTTGCTTCCCAAAAATTCATTAAATTAAAAATGTATCTGCTTTAATTAAATCATTCAAACTATTCAAATTTGTTTGGTTATTAAGGATTAGTATTTAATAAAATTTTGTTTATCTCATCTTTAAACTTATAATTAAAAAGCTCGACAGGTGAAATATGATGCACTTGGAAATAATCTGACATTTTAATTATTTCCTATATTATTAATATATTTTTTATTTGAGTTCACACAAAAATAATTACTTGTACTTTGAATTCAGCATTTAGCCATTTCTTTCATCTGCGAAGTTAACATGAAGAGTTCCTTCGTACTTTTTACAGTGTAGTAAACTTTTTACTCTAAGCTATAAGATCAAACTGATTAATAATATTTTGTGTTGCTGCTGATCTTGCCATATCCCCCTTTTAATCATTATCGTTCCACAAGTCCTTTAAAATATTTATACCAAAGTTATATTAATTTGAGTAGTATATTGAGATTACCCATAAAAAAGCCATTTGTGATCAAATGGCTTGTCTATTTAAGTTCAATAAAAAATTAAAAACTAGACTCTTCTCGCGCTGGATTGGCATCCTTGGTGGTTGCATCAATTTTGAGAATTAAACTGATCATCACCGCACACATAATTAAAGATGAACCACCATAACTAATAAATGGAAGCGTTAGCCCCTTGGTCGGCAACATGCCCATATTCATACCAGCATTCACCAAGATCTGTAATAAGAAAATAATACTGATCCCGTAAGCCAAATATCCTGCGCGCAAATATTGATGATTGAGCGCACGCTGACCGATGCGAATACAGCAAATCAACATCACAAACGAGAGTAGCAAAACGGTCGAAATACCAAAGAAACCGAATTCTTCACCTAAAATTGCCAACATAAAGTCAGTATGTGCTTCAGGCAGATAAGACATTTTTTGAATACTATGTCCTAAGCCCACCCCAAACCATTCACCACGACCAAAGGCCATCAAGGCATTCGACAATTGATAACCTGAACCCAAAGGATCAGCCCAAGGGTTTGAGAATGACATTAAGCGTTCATAACGATATGGTTCAAACACGATTAAGGATACAAATGCCACCAGAATCGCACCGAATGCAAAGCCGAACTGGATCATGGGTGCGCCAGCCAAGAAGAACACGCCCAGCATCGAAACAGCTATCACCACTGTCGCCCCTAAGTCAGGCTCTGCAATAATCAGTCCGACCGTCAGCAACATCACCACACCTAGACGCACCAAGCCCTTAATATTATTACGGACTTCTTCAGCACGACGAACCACATAGTCTGCGGTAAATATGGCCATCATCACCTTGGCGACTTCGGTTGCCTGCAAGGTAAATCCACCTACACGAATCCAACGTGTTGAACCATTGACCTCCGTACCCACCACCAAGACGGCGAGTAATAAAGCAATGGTGATCAACCACAATGGAAAGGTATTTTTAAACCAAAGGTTGAGTGAAACTCGATAGGTAATTGCGGCTGCAACAAAAGCCACCACGATCGAAATTGCATGACGAATCACATAGTGAAATTCGTTTTCATGCATCCGCTCTGCATAAGGCATTGAAGCCGAAGCCACCATCACCGTACCAATACACAACAATGAAATGACGCAAAATATCAGTACATTACGCGGTGTAATCTCTGCTGGCAATTTTGGCATCCAGCGATCATACACTTGGTGAATCTTACTTATAGTCGTCTGAGCTAACCCAGCCATACTTTATTTCCTTATGATTCTTTTTAGTTTAGAGCATTTACATATTCAACAAAGCGATGACCACGCTCAGGATAGCCTGTAAACATATCAAAGCTTGCACATGCAGGTGATAATAGCACTACATCTTGCGCATGCGTATGTTGTTGACAAAGTTCTACAGCTTGTTGCAAAGATGCTGCATGTAGCAGCGTTGTTGTCCCTGCAATGGCATTTTCAATGATTGAGCGATCTTCACCCATCAGTACCGCAACTTTGGCATATTTTTGCAGAGACTCACGTAGTGCAGTAAAGTCCTGCCCTTTGCCCTGACCACCCAAAATAATAGCAACCTGACCACCTTGGGCTTCAATTGCAGCACCTAAACCGTCCAATGCCGCCAAAGTTGCACCGATATTGGTACCTTTAGAATCATTATAATAACGAACGCCATTCACTTCTTTAACGAATTCGCAACGGTGCTCTAAACCTTTAAAGGTTTTTAAGGTTTCAAGCATTTTGTCCATTGGTAAACCAATCGCTTCACCCAAAGCTAAACATGCCAAAGCATTGGCAACATTATGCGTTCCTTGAATATACATCTCTGAACTTTTGAGTAGACGTTCACGACCTCGCGCTAACCAAATCGTACCGTTATCTTCTCTTAGGATACCGTATTGTTTTAAATCAGGTGCATTGAGCCCAAAGCTTTGCATCGGTGTGACATCTGGTACCAATGGGCGAGTTAATGAATCGTCACGGTTATATACGACTTTTTTCACACCTTGAAAAATACGATGTTTTGCCGCATGGTAACCTGCCATATCCCCATGACGGTCCAAGTGGTCTTCACTCATGTTCAAAACCACAGCCACTTCGGCATTTAAACTTGAGGTTGCTTCCAATTGAAAGCTGGAAAGCTCAAGGATATAAACATCTGGATCATCATGGGTTAAATCCAAAGCAGGACGCCCCAAGTTACCCCCTACCGCAACCTTAACCCCTGCATCTTGTGCCATTAAACCAATCAAAGTGGTCACGGTACTTTTTGCATTTGAGCCAGTAATCGCCACAATCGGTTTATCTGTAGCACGGCGGAGAATTTGAATTTCACTGATGACTGGAATGCCTTTTGCAATCGCAGCTTGAATTGCTGGTAACTGAGGATCTAACCCGGGACTAATGACAATTTCTTCAGCTTGCAAAAGTAAATCTTGATCGAGTTGACCAAAGCTGGTTTGAACTGCTGCTGGAATTTGCTCATGTCCTGGTGGAACTTCACGAGAATCTGTGACTGCAACACGGTAGCCATTTTCATGAAGAAAATTTACGGCTGAAACGCCTGAAATTCCAAGCCCAGCCACAACTTTTAACCCACCACGTTGTATTAACATTTTTGCTCACCAGCATTAAGATTTTAAAACTTGCAAAATGTTAGCACTTTGGCGATTTGAAAGCTTTTTCTGTTTGCACTTTCTGGATATTTTTTTGTGTCAGTGCGTAAAAATAACAGCAGATTATTTTGAGCAATACCGCTGATTTTTTAAATAAAACCACTCATGGTTTTATTCTATTCTCAATAATTTTATTGATGTTTGAGATGATATTTCTTCCATCAATCAAAAAATGATCATGTTGAATGAGCCATATTGATATTGAAGACTATAGTTAAACCACCTCATTATTCACACAATTAATTTACATCAAGTCATTAATCATAAATGAAGATTATATTTTGTATGAACGTTTAGAAACTGTTGGTTATCAATTCATTTTTGTATTTTTGAATCATAGATGGTGATCCTACCGTGGGGCGACAGGGATGTCGCCGTTGGGCGGGGGTACAGGACGTACCCCTCGCCCAACAGAAGATTTTTGTCACTTTTCATCTCTGAAAAGTGAGGCATCGCCTACGCAGTGGTATTTAAACTTTGAATGTAAGGTGTGGCATTGCAAGCTTTTTATAATCAAACAATTTATTTTTCTATATAATTGATTTAATTTAAAATATTAATTAATAGAAATTATATTCTTGTGCCTGAGTTTTTTGATAGGTTGACTATAGGATGAAGCGGATTTTATGTTGATCTATGGTTTTAAGAAAACTGATGCGACAAGCCAAATAAGAATAAACCATGTAAATAAGCCGAATGTTGAAGATCAGCATTCGGCTTATTCATAGGGGCAGTTTACGACAGTTTGAATCTGATTAAAATGAATCGAGCAGTAAGGATAATAAATTACCCGCGCCATAACCCGCACCAAGTAACAGCGCAATCCAAATCCATCCGCCTAAAATGTTATACAACATGAATACAGGCATTTTCATATGCCCTGCACCCGCTGCAAAAGGAGCAAAAGAACGAACAAAAGGCACAAAACGGGCAACCAGAATGGTTTTCCCGCCATGCTTTTCAAAATAATGGTTGGTCTTTTTAATATATTCAGGCTTAAACCAACGTGAATGCGCGTGGAAAAACTTAAAACCCAGCGCACGTCCCGTATAATAGTTCACCATATACCCCAAAATTGAAGCAATAATCAGCAACACACCCATATAGTGCAAATGCACAGATTCAGCGGTAGAACATAAAGCACCAACAGCGATCAATAAACTATCACCTGGGAGAAAAAACATAAAGACTGAGCCAGTTTCTGCAAAAATGATTAGAAACAAAATGGCATAAATCCACAGCCCGTAATTTTCTAAAAAAGTGGGCAATAATTGTTCTAAATGCAATAAAAATTCAAGCAATACTCAACTCTCTTACAGAAGAATTCACGATATATTAGCCTAATTTAATCATGTATATATTAAAAGGCCTAAATAAATTAGGCTTTTTTTAATCGGTTTTGGTTTTTATTTATTTTAAAAAACCATTGGCTGCCAGAAATTCCATACTGAGTTTAGACTCTGCTTTTGGCTCAGCAGCTTTATCACCAAGTAACAATCTTTCTATATAACGTGCCAATACATCGACTTCTAAATTCACTTGAGAGCCCACTTTCCACGTTCCAATATTGGTCCGTTCAGCAGTATGTGGAATTAAATTTAAACTTAAGATATTTCCACGTAAATGATTGATGGTGAGGCTAATTCCATCTACAGTCACAGAACCTTTTTCAGCCAAATATTTAGCAATTTCAACAGGTGCAGTGACTTCGAAATACAGTGAGCGAGCATCTGAACGCACTACGGTGATTTCACCCACAGCATCGACATGTCCACTGACGATATGTCCACCGAAGCGTGTTGTTGGCAACATTGCTTTTTCTACATTGACCGCCTGCCCCGCTTTCCAACTTGCTAAAGTCGAACGATTTAAGCTTTCACGGGACACATCAGCAGCGTACCAGTTTTCACCCCAGTCGATCACAGTTAAACAAATCCCATTGGTTGCAATAGAGTCGCCCAAATGTACATCAGACATATCCAAGTCTGTCTGAATACGTAAGCGCACATCACCGCCTACATTTTGTAAACTTTCGACTTTACCCAAACTTTCAATGATACCTGTGAACATAATTCTACCTACTGCTGCAGTGAGAGGAACTGATGAAGTTCAATCGTGTTTATTTTGCATTTGCCCATATTTTAAAGGCAAAGGTGCATTCTTACCATAAGGCCAGTTGCGTACTTACACCTGAGGTATCCACACCACCCAATTCTGCAAAATGATAGAGTTGACCCAACAGCTGACGCAATGGTGGTCCAGACTTAGCATGGGTATCGGTGATTACAATAAACTCAAGCACACGTGCGCGTTCAGACTGACGCTGTTTACTGACACGATAACGAGGCACATCCTGAGTCAATAAGGTGACTTTGCCACGTTTCAGATTGGCCGCCAATAAGTCTTTGGCCTCAATATTTCCATCGGTTGAGTAACTGGTGAGAATATAACGCGCATTAATAGTTTCCAACAAATTCTCATAAGCTTCTTGTGCATGCTTAGAAGAATTATAAGGACTTGGGCGTTCTTTACGCCATGCACGGTCAATCCCACTTTTAAAACCTTTGGTATCTGGTGTCGGTAAATCAACTTGATCCCACAGTGTTAGCGAGTTGAGTACATGATAATTACTACTATAGGCATGTTGGTTATACGGTGGATCTAGATAAGCCACATCGACTTCAAAACCACTCATTTGATTTGCCAAGTGCTGTGCATCTACACACCACACTTCTGCCATCGGTGTTTTCTGCTTATTTTGCCCGACTTCACTAAAGCGACTCGGTGTAAGCCACAATAACGACTCAATCCGTTCCAACGCAGTTTGGGTCTTACCGCCCCAACCATGATGGAAGCTTTTAAATACACCGCTGGTATTACTGACAAAACTTGCTGAATAGAGCAAAGGTGCCAATAAGGCACTCATTTCTACATCGTCAATTGCACCCTGTGCTTGCCAAGTGGCAATTTGCTGACGAATTGCATCTATACGCATCCCATTACGGCGTTTAAAAAATAAACGGTCTCGTGCGGGGTCATAAATTTCATCATTCCGCGGACAAAGGTTATGCGTAACCCATCCTTTCACTTCAGGTAAACGGTTTAAATAATCGATGGCTTTTTGATACCCACCCAATTCTTTAAATGCAGGTGCATCTGTGCATGCCAAAATGGCATGATTTAATGCATGGCTATACGGTTCCCAATCATTGGCAATCACCCGATAGCCATTTTGACGTGCTAAACGTGAAACCACCCCACTGCCTGCAAAAAAATCGGCAAAAATCGGGGCGCGTTTACCCTTAGGATTCAAAGTACCTGTGATTTCAAGCGCCTCAAGAATCAGATGCAACAAACGACGTTTGTTTCCCAGATAGGGAACCAACTGATGAAAAAGATATTCATCTGTTGTACGCGCAGCATGACGACGTTTATGGTAAACCGATGATGTTGACTCTGGATTCATACTGACTCTTGTGAAGGGATAAGTCTTAAGCGAATGTCATCACCAAACTGATGAACATCTTGTAACTTAAAACGTAATTGTTGTGCCATCGTTTCAAATTCGGCATTGAACATGGCACGTGCTGATTGTCCTAAAAAGGTTGGCGCAACATAACTGATTAATTCATCCACCAGTTTTTCCTGCAAAAATGCAGTAGATAATGTCGCACCTGCCTCAACCAACACATCATAAATTTGGAAATCTTTTAAAGTCGCAAGCAAATCTTTTAAAGATTGAACTTCTAATTGTACCACGCCCAGCTTGGCAAGTTCTTGACGAAATGGTCCCATGACCATCACTGTTTCAGGCGCGCTAAGAATTTGAGCATTGAGTGGCAAACGCCCTTGTCGGTCTAAAATCACCCGTTTAGGCTGGACAATCGTTGCAATATCAATATCGCCCAATGAACGCACATTTAATTGAGGGTCATCTGCCAAAATGGTATCGATCCCGGTAATCACTGCACCTGAAATAGCCCGCCAATGCTGAACATCTTGACGTGATTCAGCCCCAGTGATCCATTTAGACTCACCAGACGCCATTGCCGTACGGCCATCTAAACTTGACGCAACCTTTAACCGCACATAAGGCACACCCGTTGCCATTGCTTTTAAAAAACCTTGATTGAGTTGGGCCGCTTGTTGCTCACAAACCCCTGTTTCAACCTCAATCCCTGCCTGGCGTAAAATATCCACGCCTTTTCCCGCCACCAAAGGATTTGGATCAGCACATGCAACGACAACTTTGCTGACACCCGCTTCAACCAAGCCTTTAGCACAAGGTGGTGTACGGCCATAATGCGCACAAGGTTCCAAAGTGACATACGCGGTTGCGCCCTTGGCAGACTCGCCTGCTTGACGCATGGCAAAAACTTCGGCGTGAGGTTGACCAGCTCTAGGATGAAAACCCTCTCCCACCCATTGCCCATCTTTTACAATGACACAACCAACGTTCGGGTTTGGTCGTGTGGAATATTGTCCAAGCTTCGCGAGCTCAATTGCTTTCTGCATCCAAACCTGATCTATGTTGACATAATCTTCGGGTTTAGAATTTGAATCAAACTCAGACATAAAATTCCTAATCAATAACGTTCAAAAAATAAAATTAGTGGTCTTGCCCACGATCTTGCATTTGTTCAATTTGATGACGAAAAGCATCAATATCTTGGAAATCTTGATACACCGACGCAAAACGTACATAAGCCACATGATCCAATGCAAACAAAGATTTCATGACAATTTCACCAATGGTGCGTGAACGTACATCACGTTCACCGAGGCGGCGAATTTGCAATTGAATATCACTAATGACGGTTTCAATCTGTTCTTGAGTCACGGGTCTTTTTTGTAAGGCGTGCATTAAAGAGCGTCGTAATTTTGCTTCGTCAAACGGTTCATTTTTACCATCTGACTTGGTCACGCGTGGCATGACCACTTCATAACTCTCAAATGTCGTAAAACGTTCGCCACAACTGATACATTCACGACGTCGACGAATCTGGCTACCTTCAGCGGCCAAACGAGAGTCGATTACTTTACTATCTGCAGCGTTGCAAAATGGACAATGCATAGTGGTTTTATTGAACAAAATTCATGATTTCATCTAGTGTAGCAAAAAAACCTGATTTTGTTGAGCCTTTCGCAAGATATGGAAAAAAAACAGCCCTTACGGACTGTTTTATACTATATATAGTTATTATTCTAATTAGATTGATTATTCGATACGTTCGCCATGTTGGCTTAAATCGAGACCCATACGCTCATCATCAGATTCAACACGGATCCCAATCACAACATCGATAATTTTAAGTAGGATAAAGGTCACAACTGCTGAGTATGCGATTGTTGCTAACACACCTTCAACTTGTACCCATAATTGATGCATAACATCTGTCGGTGCTTTGTCGCCCATAATGAATGAACTGGCAAATACAGCTGTTAAAATCGCACCAACAATACCGCCTACACCGTGTAAACCAAATGCATCCAAGGAGTCATCTGCTTTAAGGATACGTTTAAGACCTGAGATCCCCCAGAAGCACACTACACCACCGATTAAGCCCATGATCAACGCACCACTTACCGTCACAAAACCTGCTGCTGGCGTAATCACAACCAGACCAGCAACTGCACCCGATGCTGCACCCAATACTGAACCTTTACCACGAACAATTTTTTCAACCACTAACCAAGCAATTGCTGCCGCTGCGGCCGCGATTTGAGTTGTGACCAAAGCATACGCTGCTGAACCATTGGCACCTAAAGCAGAACCACCATTGAAACCAAACCAACCGACCCATACCAAGCTTGCACCCAATACAGTTAAAGTTAAGTTATGTGGTGCCATAGATTCTTTGCCTAAGCCCATACGTTTACCCAGTAAATACGCAGCAACTAGACCGGCAACACCCGAGTTAATATGAACAACAGTACCACCAGCAAAATCAAGCGCGCCATCATTCATTAACCAGCCACCACCCCATACCCAGTGTGCAATCGGTGCATAAACAATAATGACCCAAATCGTAATGAATGTGATCCAAGCACTGAATTTCATACGATCAGCCACAGAACCACTGATAATGGCAACGGTAATAATCGCAAAAGTCATTTGGAAAATAACGAAAAGAATTTCTGGAATTGTGCCACTCAGCGCATCTGTTGTAATTCCAGATAACATGATTTTATCGAAACCACCAATAAAAGCGTTACCAGAACCAAATGCAAGTGAATAACCAATGACCACCCATACGATGCTGACCACTGCTGCGGCAGTAAAGCTTTGCGCCATGGTGGCAAGCACATTTTTCTTACGAACCATACCGCCGTAGAATAATGCTAAACCGGGAATTGTCATTAGCAATACAAGTGCTGTAGATACAAGAATCCACGCTGTATCACCTGTATTTAAAGTTGGTTTTTCTGCCTCTGCTGGAGCAGCTGCGGCAGTCACCGTTTCAGGTGCAACGGTTGCCGATGTATCGGCGACTGTTGCAGTCACATCACTTGCCGTTGCAACAGCTGTAGATGCAGGCTCAGCTACGTTTTCTTCTGCCCACGCAACTGATCCGCCAAGAAGTGCGCCAGACAGGCTGAGCGCTAATAGCATTTTTTTCATTCGTATCCCCCAACCTAATTTTGTGAGTTATGTATTGATATACATAACCAGCAATCTTCGTGCCAAATTAAACAGCGTCTGGACCTGTTTCACCTGTACGAATACGAATTACTTGCTCTAAATTAGTCACGAAAATTTTTCCATCACCAATTTTGCCAGTGCTAGCAACGCGTGTAATAGATTCAATCACTGAATCTACCATGTCATCACTGATTGCGATTTCGATTTTCACTTTAGGCAGAAAATCAACAACATACTCAGCGCCACGATAAAGTTCAGTATGCCCCTTTTGACGACCAAAACCTTTAACTTCAGTTACGGTAATCCCTTGAACGCCTATATCAGACAGTGCTTCACGCACGTCATCTAATTTAAACGGTTTTACAATTGCAGTTACGAGCTTCATATTGTTTTCCTTCGGCTTATTTCACCAGTAAGGTTTTATGTTCAATTTTCATGCCAATCTTATTAATGGTTGGGGTGATTAATTCAATCAACATGCATTGCCTTTATAACCTATTGTATATACTTAGGTGAAGTTGCAACTTTAAAAAACACATAATATTGCGTGTTTTTTTAGATTTCATTGCTAAATTATAGGAGACATCATGCTTTAAACATCGGATAAAAAATTACTTAAATAAAATGAATACGCGATGTTACACTAGGCAAAGAACATTACTCATTTGGATTCCTCATGATTGAAACATTATTACAAGCAATTTTGGAACAGGTCGATCAGCCTAAAAAAGACATAGAACATAATTTACGCGCCTTACTTAATGAAGCCATTTCTAAAATGGATATCGTTTCAAAAGACGAGATTGAACGCCAAAAAACTGCACTAAATAATGCCAATTTACGCTTGACCGATTTACAAGAACAGGTCAAAGCACTTGAGGTTCTAATTCAGGATAAAAAATAAACTAAATTTGCACATTATTGGTGCAAAAAATATAATAATGATTAAAAATAAAGCACAAGTGGAAAACAACAATGTCTTTAGCCAAAATTTATACCCGAGGCTTGCTCGGGCTACATGCACCTTTAATTGAAGTTGAGGTCCATGTTAGTGCAGGGCTTCCTTCTTTAACAATTGTTGGCTTAGCTGAAGCAGCAGTTCGTGAAAGTAAGGATCGCGTTCGATCTGCCATCATTAACAGTGGTTATCAATTCCCAAGCAAGCGCTTAACCATCAATCTCGCACCTGCGGATCTGCCCAAAGATGGCTCTCGTTTAGATCTGCCCATTGCACTTGGTATCTTGATTGCCACAGGGCAACTTCCCGAAAATGTCACAGATCATTTTGAGTTTATTGGTGAGTTGGCACTGGATGGGCACTTAAGGCCCAGCACAGGAACATTAACCATTGCGATGGCATGTCAAATGGCCAAGCATCAATTGATGTTGCCACAGGAAAATGCCGCAGAAGCAGCACAATTGCCTGAGTTTCAGGTGTTTGCTGCACAGCACTTAAAACAAGTCTGTGAGCATTTCTTAAACCTACAAAAAATTGATGTAACTGTTCGGCAAAAAGTACAGCAAGACAATGCCTACAAATTTGATTTGGCAGATGTCAAAGGACAACTACGCCCACGACGCGCTTTAGAAATTTCAGCAGCAGGTGGACATTCCCTTTTATTTAAAGGCCCACCGGGTACAGGTAAAACCCTGTTAGCTTCACGCTTACCAAGTATTTTGCCAGCCTTAAATCCACAAGAAAATCTTGAAGTTGCCAGTATTTATTCAATTGCCAAGACTAAACACCATTTTGGACAGCGCCCATTTCGCGCCCCGCACCATACCGCGTCTGCAATCGCTCTTGTCGGTGGCGGTTCAAATCCAAAACCTGGAGAGATTACGCTGGCGCACCTAGGTGTACTATTTTTAGATGAATTGCCTGAGTTTGACAAAAAAGTGCTCGAAGTTTTAAGGCAACCACTTGAATCTAAAGAAATCGTTATTTCTAGAGCATCACGCCAAATTACATTTCCTGCAAACTTTCAATTGATTGCAGCAATGAACCCCTGCCCTTGTGGTTATGCATTTAACCAAGACAGTCGCTGCCAATGTTCTGCCGAAGCAATTAAACGGTATCAAAACCGAATTTCAGGTCCATTATTGGATCGTATTGATCTCCATATCGATGTGCCACCATTAAAAGCACAAGAATTACAGGATCAAACGCCTGTCGAAGATTCAGCAACAGTACGGGAACGGGTAATTGATGCGTGTGATTTTCAAATCCAAAGACAAGGGCATTTAAATCACAGCTTATCGCCAAAAGACTTAGAAAAATATGTGATTTTAGATGAAACATCCAAGCAAATGCTCGAAATGGCACAACAACGTTTGAATTTATCTGCACGGGCATATCATCGTATTTTACGTGTTTCAAGGACCATTGCAGATTTAGCTCAAAGTGAGCAAATCCAAAGTGCACATTTAACCGAAGCCTTGTCATATCGGGGAACTCAATCTTAGAATCCAAGCTATGACGTATAGAAGATAAATAACATGCTAAATTTAACCTTACGCAACGAACATGCAGACGACATTGAAAATATTTTCAATCTCACTCAACTGGCTTTTCTAAATGCAGCGCATACCGACCATACTGAACACTTGATCGTCAATGCACTCAGGGATGCAAGTCAATTAACCATTTCCATTGTTGCTGAATTGGATGAACAGATTATTGGGCATGTGGCAATTTCACCTGTTGAAATTTCTTCTGGTGCACAACATTGGTATGGTTTAGGTCCAATTTCAGTTGCACCAGAATATCAACACCAAGGTGTTGGTAAAGCTTTAATCCAACACGCATTACAGCAGTTACAACAATTCAATGCCGCAGGATGTGTTGTGCTTGGAGATCCTGCCTATTATTCCAAATTTGGCTTTCAACCACATGAAAGTTTGATCCTTGAAGGTGTGCCTGCTGAATATTTTCAAGCCCTTAGCTTTGACCAAAGCATTCCACAAGGAACGGTAAAATATCATCCAGCATTTGAAGTGAAAGCCTAATTTGATTTCAAAATCGCAAAAAATAAAGGTGACTCAAGGTCACCTTTATGTATTTTAATTTGCGCTTAGAACGCTTTAGTTAAAGTAAACACAGCGCCTGTTTCAACACCACGTTTCGCAGAATTAGTGAATCCATCAGTATCAATATTGGTTCCCACTGCTGCAAGTTCCGCAGTTACTCCTGGAATAGATTTAACTGCATAATTCACCCCGACTTTCCAGTCGACATAATTGTCGTTACCATCAGCTAATGCTTTTTTATCCATTGTGGTATAGCCAACATTTGCAAGCCCACCAAAACCAGTATCACCAAATGGAGCTGAATAGCCAACGTTAAAATTCCAACTGTTCCCACCGACTGCTGCCCAGTCATTGGTATAGTTCACATTGGTCAATAAACTACTGCCTTTAACCAAGACATCTGCAAATATTAATTTTGCATAAAACTCAGTCCAGTTAAACTTACTGGTTGCACTTGGATAATTATATTCAACAACACCAACATCCAAAGTTGGTTTAAAGGTCGGAGATAACGCCAATGCTGTTGTATAACCAATAGATGGGTCTAATTCTAAATGTGGATCTGCCTCACCAAAATTTACATTTGAACCCCAAAGACCCGCATATAAACCTGAACTATGCGATAAGGTAAAACCCGCTTGTACTGCTGGGTCGTTATAAGTTTGAGTCATACCGCGGAAACGATAGTCACTCGTTACGGCAGCACTACCTGAAAAGCTTAAACCTAATTTTGACAGTGCGTTGTCTTCCGCCATTGCCATTGTTGCTGTAGACGATAGAACTGCCAATGTTAGTGCTTTAGTTGAGAATTTCATCTTAAGTGCTCCCCCATCATACGATGTTTATTTGTTATGCTAAAATTTGATGAACTCCCTAAGCAATTAGCAATTGCCATGCCAAGATGAAACTCAAGCTGTTTATAAAACTCAGAAATACGTGTCAATCTATTTATAATCAATATATTAAAAGTAAAAGATTGTAGATAATTTTTCTTATTCTTCAGTTGTTGAACATATGCTATTTCAAGCATCACTTGATGGAACTGATTCATACTGACCTACTTTAAGCATGGTTTTAATGCAAAGTAGTATGAAAAATCTAAGCATAAATTTTCTATAACGTGCTTTATTGTTGTCATAAAAAGCGTATAAATATTGCTTTACGCTTTTCATGTAAGATGATTTTAGTGGTGCATATTGTTCTTTTGCTCAAAAAAAGCACACATTTTAAAAAATGCCTAAAAAAAGTGCATACCCTATCTTCGGTCATACACTTTGATAAAATAAGGAAGATAAAATAACTCACTCATATTCATCTTAAAAACTATAAGTTAATCTTAAAAACTATAAGTCAAACCAAATACCAAATTGTCCTTATAATCTTCACCTAAACGGTCTTTACCACCAATTACATAGTCTAATGAAGCTGAAACACCTGTATTAGCAATGACTTTACTGAGCCCCAAGCGCATTTCACTTAACGCAAAATCCTGTTCTGTCTGCACAATACTGTCATCATGATGACTGTTATATAGAGATGCACCAATAGCCGTGTTCAAAATAAAATCTTGAGCCAAAGCATGACGATACGCAATGCTGAGATAAACATCACCCGCATTGGCAGAGGATGCATCGGCTAACATCACTGAAGCACCTGCGGTTAAATTTTTATAACTCAGCTCAGCGGATAGATCTGTATAGGTGGTTTTACGATGATCTGCTTGATCAGCATAAATAGTACCGCCTTTATGATAAACATATGCAGTGGTTTTTAAGTTATAGCTCCAATTTTGCGCAATTTCTTGAGCATAAGCCAAATAAAAATTATTTTCAAAACCATGATCTTGCGTATCATCTGCAGGGTTGTAGCTCAGTGTAGAACCCCAATACCCCACCGTGATGCCACTTTTATGTGCATAACTTAAACCGCCTTGCACAGCGACATCATCATTTTCAATTCCACCTCGATAGATGTACTTGGATACCAGTCCCACATTTCCAGAGATCATGCCATTTTTAACCAAGACATTTGCTTCTTCAGCAAATGCTGGGCACGACGTGATACAGATAGGCATTGCCCATAACAGTTTAGAAATAAGTGAGTTCATGATGACAAACGGGTGGGCGTATAAATAAAGGCGAATTTTACTGTGTTTTTAAATTTTTGGTAAAAAACATGGACATAAATTCAGCATATTTTTCAATTTATTTCATATTTCACATAAAATCAGCATTTTAATAATTCTTTAGAACTTTTTTTCATAAGAAAAGAAATTAATATTGTGTAAAACATTACAGAAATGTAATATTTTTAAGCAAAAGAGATTCCCTTTTTATAGATTAAATATACAATTCATCCACAATCTGTTCTGAATTCGATCAGTCAGTGCAATCTATTCTCGTTCACGAGGCAATTCATGTTGAATGCTCCAAAACTTACTTTAGCTGTATTAATTAACGCGGTTCTAATATCCCCTACATTTGCTAGCGAACAAAGTGATGCAAAAGGGTTCGTTGAAGATGCCAAAGGTTCTGTATTGTTTCGTACAGGTTATATTCTTCGTGATAAAAAACATGGTATTGACGATCAAAGCTCATTTGCACAAACTGCAATTGTTGACTTAGATTCTGGCTTCACTCAAGGTATCGTCGGTTTCGGTGTTGGTGTAGTTGGCGATGGTTCTTTTAAAATCGGTCCAAACACCCATGCTGGCAATAATATGATTGCACTCAAAAATAATGGTGCAAGAGACGCAAATGGACGAGTTGATCCATATGATCATTGGGCACGTGGTGGCGCAAACGTAAAAGCTCGTTTCTCAAATACAACTGTACGTTATGGTACGCAAGTTCTCGACTTACCTGTACTTGCAAGTAATACAACGCGTCTTGTTCCTGAATATTTTACAGGTACGTTATTAACCAGCCATGAAATTAAAAATTTAGAACTTGTTGCGGGTAAATTCACCAAAGACCAAATGTCTGATCAGATCAAGACTGATGGTAATAAATTAGATGATGCGATTGTTTGGGGTGCTAAATACAAATTTGATGACCAGCTTAGCGCGTCTTATTATGGTTTAGATTCTAAAAATGCGTTAGAACGTCATTATATCAATGCAAATTATAAATACCCATTGGCAAATCAAAGTTCTTTAACTTTTGATTTCAGTGGTTATCACACCAAGTTTGATAAAAATGCCAATACCTATTCTGCAACAGGTCCTGTTGATGCGGATTATGCAAATACAGGTAAAGCAGGCGTAGAAAAAACCAATAATATCTGGGCATTGTCTTCTACTTATAATCAAGGTCCACACACTGTTATGTTGGCATATCAACAAAATACAGGTGATGTGGGTTATGACTATGGTCAAAATGCTGACGGTTTCCAAAGTATTTATCTACCAAACTCTTATATGTCTGATTTTATTGGTAACCATGAAAAATCAGCACAAGTTCAATATAACCTAGACTTTAGCAATTATGGTGTTGCTGGCTTAAATTGGACCACAGCATTTGTTTATGGTTGGGATATTAAAGTCCGCAATGTAACTGATGATGCACAAGAACGTGAATTCTTTAATCAGGTGAAATACACCATGCAAAGTGGTTTTGCAAAAGATGCGAGCTTACGTCTACGTCACTCTTACTACCGTGCAAGTGAAGCGTATAATCCTGTCTATATTGGTGATACCAATGAATGGCGTATTTTCTTAGATATTCCTGTGAAATTTTTCTAATTTAGAATAAATCCACAGAAACAAAAAAACCTGCATTGAATCATGCAGGTTTTTTTATGGGTTTGAATATTTTTCAATTTTCAAACCACGTTTTAATCAGGCTTATTTTGCAGCTTCGATTGCTTTTAAGACTTCAGCTTTTGCAACTTCTGAACTTTCCCAACCTGTCAATTTAACCCATTTACCAGGCTCTAAATCTTTGTAATGTGCAAAGAAATGTTCAATTTGATTCAACAACAAAGCAGGAAGATCTGAATACTCTTTCACATCTTTATAAAGCGGAGTCAATTTGTCATGTGGAACTGCGATCAGTTTCGCATCAATACCACCATCATCTTCCATGTTTAATTTACCAACAGGACGACAACGAATCACTGAACCATGTACCAATGGGTGTGGAGTTACAACCAATACGTCTAATGGGTCACCATCTTCAGACAATGTATTTGGTACATAACCATAGTTCGCTGGGTAGAACATCGCTGTACCCATGAAACGATCTACAAATAAAGCATCTGAATCTTTATCTACTTCATATTTAATCGGTGCAGCATTTGCTGGGATTTCGATAATTACGTAGATGTCATTTGGTGCATCTTTACCAGCAGGAATATTGCTATAGCTCATAGGATACTCTTTCAAGTGAGGTCTTATTTAAAATCTTGTCGATTATAACGCTAAATTGCGCAAACAGATGCGGATTATACATTTTGCATCATCAAAATGAATGAATTTCATCGAAAACTGTTTAGACGATTCGAATAACCAATAACAATAAAATAATTGGGCAAGCTAAGGACAAAGCCCAAATAATGGTACGTAGCGCTGAAATATTCGCCAGATAGCAAATTCCATAAATAATGCGTAACACAATATAGGCGATACCTAACATCATAATCAGATGTTGTGATACCACCATATACTCTGCCATTAAAATCGCAGCAATAAATAAAGGTAAGCTCTCAAAACTATTCTGTTGTACTGCATTGGCACGTGCAGCCAAACCTGTGGTTTTGGCTAAAAATTCACGGGGATTCTGATTATCAGCAGCTTTAAAACCACCAGACGCTTTTGCAATAATGGTAAAAACATAAGGAAGTAAACAGGCAATTAGAATTAAATATATGATGCCATCTATCCCAGACATGATTTTTTCTCATGAAGTGTTAATGCGAGTTATCATAGCATGGCATGAACAGAATATTTTTTGTTAAATGCAGAGTTTTGCAAAATTGTGTAGTGAGGACAATAACGTGCAACCAGATCAAAATGAATTGTTTGAGGTTTTAGAAAAGCAGCGCCATCAACAAGCGGAGATTGATCGTATTCTTAAAATTGTATTGCCAATTTTGGCTTTTCTCTTGTGCGTGATTTGTGCAAATTACAATTGGCAATCCACCTTGGGAACGCTCATTGTTTTGGTGGTGGCTTTTTTTGCCGTTGGTATAAAGCGTATGAATCTATACTTTTGGTTAGCTATTATTGTCGTATACTGTTTAATCGATATTTATTTTAGCTATGGCAGTATTCATCCTTCTGCACTAGGGCGTCAAATGGGCACTATGCTAACCTTTACAGCAATTGTTGGCTTAAGCCGCCCCTATATTGATGGTTGGTATATTCGTTCTCACAAAAAATAAATGTTGAAATCACCGCATAAAGCGATCGATTACTTTACATCGAAGATAAAAAAGCGCCACTATTGGCGCTTTTTATCTTTAATTTTTCAATTATTTACGTAAATCTTTACGTAGGATTTTACCTACATTTGATTTTGGTAAATCATCCATAAACTCAACATAACGCGGACGTTTATAACCGGTTAAGTTTTCTTTTGCATATTCAAGAACTTCTTCAGTGGTTAAAGATGGATCTTTTTTCACTACAAATAGTTTTGGCACTTCACCAGATTTTTCATCAGGCACACCAATTGCAGCCACTTCAAGCACTTTAGGATGTTGCGCAATCACTTCTTCAATTTCAGAAGGATAGACATTGAAGCCAGATACTAAAATCATGTCTTTCTTACGATCGACAATTTTGAAATAACCACGGGTATCCATGATCCCAATATCACCTGTACGGAAATAACCGTCAGCTGTCATGACTTTTGCAGTTTCATCTGGACGATTCCAATAGCCTTTCATGACTTGAGGACCACGAATCGAGATTTCACCCTGCTCGCCTTGTGACAAATGATTGCCATCATCATCTAAGATCGCAACATCCGTCAGTGGTAAAGGAATACCAATTGTGCCACTAAACTCAGTCGTTGCAGGTGGGTTTGCAGTTGCGACTGGAGAAGTTTCAGATAAACCATAACCTTCAATAATGATGGTTCCTGTAACTTTTTTCCATTCTTCAGCAGTTGACGGTAACACAGCCATACCACCGCCCATCGCCATTTTTAACTTACTGAAGTCGAGCTGTCTAAATTCTTCATTATGCACCAGCGCATTAAACAAGGTATTTACCGCAGGGAAGAAACCTGGTTGGTATTTACGTAATTCTTTAATCACTGCAGGTAAATCACGTGGATTTGGAATCAGAATATTTGCTTGACCTTTATACATACCATACATCGCACAAACCATAAATGCGAAGATGTGATAAAGCGGTAAAGCACAGAAGATACGATCATCTTTAGCGCCATCACCTTGGCCAAATTTACTTTGGAAAATACCGTCACATTGCAACAAGTTTGCAACTAAGTTACGGTGGGTAAGTTCCGCTCCTTTTGAAACACCCGTAGTACCGCCTGTGTACTGAAGTACAGCAGTATCACTGAGTGTCATGGTTGGACGTTTATAATTGCTTGGACTTACTTTTGCCAATGCAGCATTAAACTTAGTATGTCCTGGAATATTCCAATCTGGAATTTGTTTACGCACTTTACGTAAAACAAAATTTACCAAAGTACCTTTTAAGGTACCTAACATATCGCCAACCGAAGCAATGACAACATGTTTTACTGGTGTTTTACCAATAATCGCTTGATAAACAGTCGCAAAGTTTTCAACAATGACCAACGCTTCAGCGCCTGAATCATTAAGTTGGTGTTCTAATTCACGTGCTGTATAAAGTGGATTCACATTCACAAGTACCAAACCTGCACGGAGTACACCTAAAGCGACAACTGGATACTGAAGGACGTTAGGCATCATCACTGCAACACGTGAACCTTTTGCCAAACCTAAACTTTGCAAATAGGTTGCAAATTTACGGCTTGCCAATTCAAGATCACTGAATGACATCACTTTATCCATGAAGATAAAGGCATCACGTGAACCAAATTTTTGGAAATTACGCTCAAAAATATCAATAAGAGAGCTATTTTCCTGTGGCAATTCTACTGTTTCTGGAATCCCAGTTTTTTGATATTCAGCGAACCAAACTTTTTCCATAATGCCATAATCTCCAATCAGTAATCCTTAGTTTTAAACTGTTTTTCTCAATATTGAACATAATTTTTTGGCTTCTTTGTGCTCAATATTGCATCCATTTTCACGAACACTTTGCATATATAACGTATTTCAATCCAAGGATGCTAGTTTTATCTTTGAATCAACAGTTTATTTGCTTTTTGATATCCGCGCGGTAACAACTGACCTTTTGATGCGCGTTTACCGATATATTTCTGTAAATCTTCCCCTTTTAATTTTAATTGTTGCTGCCCTGCAAGCACTTGTATTACTTCATCTAAATTCAAAGTTAACATAAACTGAACAGACTCATTAGTTTCAAGTTGTATCAACTTATTTCCTTTACCTTTATTGAGCGTTGGCAAGTCAGATAATTCAATTAAAAGTAGGCGTCCTGCTGAGCTGAGTATAGCCAAATGAGTATGGTTTTCAACGACTTCGATTGGCATTGCTGTCGCATTTTCAGCAACAGTCAGGAATGTTTTACCTGCTTTGGCATTGGTATCCAATTGTTTAGCTTGCGATTTAAAGCCATAACCTTTTGAACTTACAGCAACTATTTCTTTTTCTTCATCTTCAATCAGGACTTGCATAAAGCCCACACCATTGGCTGGAGAAAGTTTTGAACTCAACGGTTCTCCTAAACCACGCGCCGATGGCAAACTATTGATGGCCAAAGCATAACTTCGTCCAGTTTCATCTAAAATATATACTTTCTGATTCGACTTACCTTGTGCTGAACTTAAGTACTGGTCACCGGCACGGAAATTTAATTTTTCAACATCAATATCATGACCTTTGGCTGCACGAGCCCAACCCGCCTCAGAAAGGATCACCGTTACCGCTTCAGCAGGCATTAAATCTTGTTCACTAATGGCCTGTGATTCTTCACGTTGCACAACCGGTGAACGACGATCATCACCAAACTTCTTCGCATCATCTTTAAGTTCTTCGATAATCAAAGATTTTAATGACTCTGGATTTGCAAGTTGTTCACGAATCACTGCTGCTCTGGCCTCAAGTTCTTCTTGCTCACGGCGCATTTCCATTTCTTCAAGTTTTGCCAAATGGCGTAACTTAAGCTCTAAAATTGCTTCTGCCTGAACTTCATCAATATTGAAACGCATCATCAACACGGGTTTAGGCTGATCTTCTTCACGAATAATTTTGATCACTTCATCTATGTTCAAATACGCAATGATCAAGCCACCGAGAATATGCAAACGCTTTTCAATTTTATTCAAATGATATTGCAGACGACGTGTGACAGTGCTCTTACGAATTTCAATCCATTCTAATAAAATGCGACGGATTGATTTGACTTGCGGACGACCATCAGCACCGATCATGTTCATATTGACACGATAACTCGACTCTAAATCGGTTGTCGCAAATAAATGACTCATGACTGCATCGGCATCGATACGATTTGAACGTAATACAATCACCAAACGTGTTGGGTTTTTATGGTCTGATTCATCACGTAAGTCACTGACCAATGGCAGTTTTTTGGCTTGCATTTGATCTGCAATTTGCGTGATGACTTTTGAGCCAGAAACTTGATATGGCAGTTCAGTGATGATAATTTCATTTTTTTCAATGGTATATACTGCACGGGTACGATAGCTACCACGCCCAGTCATTTGAATTTTTAATAATTCATCACGTGGTGTAATAATTTCTGCTTTAGTCGGTAAGTCAGGTGCAGGAATATATTCTGCAATTTTTTCATCTGTTAAGTTTGGATTACGGATTAAAGCAATCGTACCTTTAACCACTTCACGTAAATTGTGTGGCGGAATATCCGTTGCCATTCCCACTGCAATACCAGTGGTACCATTGAGTAAAATATTTGGTACACGCGCTGGTAAATTGACTGGCTCTTTCATTGAACCATCAAAGTTATCTTGCCAATCACAGGTCCCTTGACCTAATTCAGAAAGTAACAAATCACTATAAGGAGAAAGTTTGGCTTCGGTATAACGCATGGCTGCGAATGATTTAGGATCATCAGGCGAACCCCAGTTCCCTTGCCCTTCAATAAATGGGTAACGATAACTAAATGGCTGTGCCATCAACACCATGGCCTCATAACAGGCTGAGTCACCATGCGGATGGTATTTACCCAATACATCACCGACTGTACGTGCAGACTTTTTCGGCTTACCGCTTGGTTTTAATCCCAATTCGCTCATCGCATAAACGATACGGCGTTGTACAGGTTTTAAACCATCACTAATGTGTGGCAATGCACGATCCATAATCACGTACATGGCATAGTTGAGGTAAGCTTGTTCAGTAAATTCTGCTACGGAACGATTTTCTGTCGCATGATGCGCAAGGCTTGTCATAACAACCTTTTATCCTAAATAAGTGCGTTCTAAATAAATGTTTTGTATCTACGTTCTTATGCTAAGTCGCAGGGTCTGACTACACAAGTGCAAGTGTACCCTACAACGACAAATTGCGTCTTAAGATCTTTCTAATGACGTAAAATTATCCATTTTTTAAGAAATGAGCAACTTTTATTTCAAATCTAAAATATTAAAAGTCAAATACACAACAATTCTTGTCAAAACAAAATGCTCTTATAGATAAAATAGAAAGACCTCGATTTGATAAGAATTGAGGTCTTGATTTATAAATATAAAAAACAAAGGATTATTTAATTTCCACACTCAATTTATCTGATAATTTTTTATAAAAATCAGCCCTGTTTCTTGGATTCTTTAATTCTTTGCAAGTTTCTTCTAATGCTGTAATTGCTTCTTGTTTAGTAAATTCACCATCCTCAATGAATGGTTGAAGCTTCTTATCGTAAATATATTTTAATTCATTATATTCCTCACATTGCGCACAAGAAACAAGGGAGTCATCCCCTTTTCCACCTGGATTTTCATCTTTATAACTATACTGTTTATTGATATCTTGAATGGTTTTAGCTGACATAACTATTTCCTTCTGATTTTATTGAATAATGTTAAAGTTCTCATACGAATCAAGGCATAAATTTCGATTCAAAAAATGTTCTAGATATATTAGTCTAAAAAGACTTTTTGATAAGAACATAACTATTTAATAATCTTTTTTCTAAAAATTACAAATTACATTTTCTCAAAAACAAGAAAATCAATCACTTGAAACTGTAGGCTTCTTGCATCATTAAAAAATGAGCCTTTAATACTCTATATGTGCAATAACAATTATATTCATTCGTCTGCTTTTTTATATTCATGAATTAGACATGGTTGTTCTATCGTGTGGCGACATGGATGTCGCTCCGTTGGGTGGGGGTACAGGACGTACCTCTCACCCAACAGAAGATTTTTGTCATCTTTTCATCTCTGAAAAGTGAGGCATCGCCTACGCAAAGGAATTTAAACTTTAAATGTAAAGGGTGGCATTGTAAGTTTTAGAATCATACAAATTCATTTCTATGGAATAATCAGCCATGATTGATCAGGGTTAATCTCGTTTAGAAATCATTTAAAAGCTTACTTTGATAAGAGATCTAATTAATATCTAAATTTATTCTGCACAACCTTCACAATCACAATCCAATCTCTTCTAAGGTCTTACCTTTGGTTTCTTCACCCAAGATCAAAACCACAGCGGCAACAGCGAAAAGTACAATCGTAAACATCATAAAGACTGAACTAAACCCATCACTTGCCACCATCATATGGGTCACCACCAACGGTGCGACAATCCCCCCCATACGACCGATTGCAGATGCCCAGCCTGAGCCAAAAGCACGAATATTGGTTGGATATTGTTCAGGCGTATAAGTATATAAAACCCCCCATGCACCCAAATTAAAGAACGACATTAAGCATCCCCACAACATAATCATATTGACTGAGGTTGCTTGACCAAAGAAGTAAGCAGAAAGCGCACACAGACCAATAAAACCAGCGAGGGTTGCTTTACGTCCAAGCTTTTCCACCAACCAAGCCGCAGCCACATAACCAGGTAATTGTGCCAAAATCATCCCGAGTACATATTCAAAAGACTGCACAATGGTATAGCCCTGTTTGACCAGCAAACTTGGCAACCAAGTAAAAATGCCATAATAAGAATAGACGATACCAAACCAAATCAACCACAGCATCAAAGTACGACGGGCAAAAGCACCTGACCAAAGCTGTGAAAATGAAATCGTTTGTTTTGCTGAAACAGGTTTGACTTCAAGGGTTTCAATCACTTCTACCCCACACTGCCGTTCAAGTTTCTGTACCAGTGCATGGGCTTCTTCAATTCGTCCACGATTAATCAAATAAGGGACCGATTCAGGCACTTTTTTGAGAATCATAAAAACATAAATTGCAGGTAAACCACCAATCAAAAATGCAATATGCCAACCATAATCAGGAATCACAAAATAAGAAATAAGTGCAGCAACAAGCCAGCCAAGTCCCCAGAAACTTTCTAACAGTACAATAAATCGACCACGTACTTGAGCGGGGATATATTCGCTGACCAAAGTCACCGCCACAGGAAGTTGCCCACCCAGCCCTAAGCCGACAATAAAACGGAACAGCAATAACCAAGTCAGATTCGGCGCAAAAGCACATAACGCGGTTGCAATGCTATAGGTCACCAAAGTAATCGCAAAGACTGTTCTACGACCAATTCGATCAGCCAAACCACCTGAAAATACAGCACCAATTGCCATACCCACAAAGCCAATGGAGACTACCCAGCCTTTTTCAGTAGGGGTCATTTGCCATTCTTCTGCCATTTTGGTGAGAATAAAGGAGATCAGTCCTGTATCCATGGCATCAAACATCCAGCCCAGTCCGATCACCCAGAGTAAGGTATAGTGAAATTTACCTATGGGTAAGCGTTGTACACGTGATACTAAATCCATAATGCACTCAACAAATATGTAAAAGCAGAAACAACTTTGGCTCGCTGTTTAATTTTAAAGACTGAACAGCAGAATTTCTCCTGCTAGTCCGTCAAAATCTTTAAACTCTTTAGAATGGAAACCATTGTTTATCAATATTTTTCTTGAAGGTATATTTTCGGGATCAATAATAGCCATAAGATCCTTTAAATATGGTTGTTTTTTTGCATGCTCAATTAAAAATGTAACAACTTGACTGGCAATGCCTTTCCCCCAATATTCGGGTAAAAGCATATAGCCCAACTCCGCAGTTGTTGCTGTTGGCTGATCCAACTCGAGTTTAGCTAAACCGATAAAGTCATTTGTTTGAGCATCAAGAATTTTATAATTTCCCAATGCTACATTATAGGCATTCTTAGATAAAATCTTGGCAAATTCGGTATGCGCTTCCTCAAGCGTTAATGCTCGCTCGGTAATCATTTGCATGACTTTAATATTTTTGACCAATTCAAAATACACAGCAAAATCTAGGTCAGTAAATTTTTCAAGTTTAATATTTTGATGAATCTGATATGACATACCAAGCTCAAAGTTAAATGCAGAGATTCACAATCAATAACTGCTGTTCAAGCATCCATCCTTAGGACTCATCTTTAGAAGATGCCGATTGTTCATCATCATCTTTATAGATAAATTTCGGCATTTCCAAACCAAAATAAATCGCCACACAACGTAATGCAAAACCAAAAACTAAAGTAGAAACCACGGTAATTTCAAGCGATAAACCGAAATCTATACAGAACCAATAGAAAATCACTGCAACAAAGGAAATCGACGCATACAGTTCGCGACGGAATACCAACGGAACATCGTTACACAGAATATCTCGTAGAATACCACCAGATACCCCTGTTAACACCCCAGCAACGGCGGAAACCACAAAACCATGTCCCATTTGCAAGGCAATTTGACAGCCAATAATGGTAAAACCAATTAAGCCTAAAGCATCCAACAATAAGAAAATTGAATGTAAATGCTTCATCCATTTAGCAATAATAATGGTGACAAAGGCAGCACAGCATGTCAAAACAAGGTATTCAGGATGTTTCACCCAAGTCAGTGGATAATGTCCAAGTAAAACATCTCGCACAGAACCACCACCGAGTGCAGTGACACAGGCAATCAGTATCACCCCAAACCAATCCATACTCCGTCGTCCTGCGGACAACGCTCCAGTCATGGCTTCTGCTGTAATGGCTATAATATAAATAATCGTCAGTAACATTGCCCTTCATCCACTGATGGGAAAAGATGCGCGCTATTTTAAGTCAAAAATGAACTAAAAGTTATAAAAATTGTGCGCAACATTGCTTAAATTTTTTGGTGGATCCACAAATACATGGTTGTTTCATGGTGATTGGCTGATCTGTAGTTGGATCTAGGAAATACCATACACTAGCATGCTGGACAAAGTATGAAACTTCATGGTGTATTTGAGCCTGCTGATCATCATGAAAATGTGCTTTAAATTCAACTTGAGCATGATTTTTATCAAGCTTTTCTTGGGCTTGCACCACGTCAAGACTGAGCCATTGATTGGCTTTGCTCCAGTCTGAAATCGCTTTAACATCCAAAGCTTGCTGCTGCCCAAGCGCAGTGGTCTGAACAATA